TTCTTCAAAACTATGGGTGCTGGTTTTCAGAATATCTGTGGACAATGAGGCAGGCTGATGATTATCAGCTACGATTATATGCAATGAAATTTAGGAGGAATTGGCAATGTTGATCTGGAAGTTACATTCATGGAAATATTGGAGGAGACATCCAGAGCAACACCAGGTCAAGTATTTGTAATTAATTTGAGTTGTCATGGCCTGAGGATGAGAGAAGACACTTGCATCAGTTTATCCTACCATAGTCTATCCCACCATTTAGACTAAGCAGAGGGGGACTGGGTGAATTCAGAAATGCTGGAGGATAGTACTTATCACCTTGAAGGAGGGAGAAATACAGCTTGCCTTGAAGAGGACCTCCTTGTATCCAGAGATACAGGAGAAATCTACTGATGCTCCTGATTTCTCAAGCAGTTTCTAATACCATCAGTCATGCTCTCTTACTGGACTAGTTGTATGGATGGGAGTTAGAAACATGATATGATGGTACTTCTATTTCCTACTGCATATTGAGGCAATAGGATCAGGTAATTAATGGAGGACAAAAAGATCAAAGGCTGCTAATAAAAGATTAAACCTCTAGGTCCTAGAAACCAGAGGTACTTGACAGAGATCACTAATAGTTCTTAGTGTATCAGATACCAAGCAGAGGTAGTCTAGTTGAAGCTACTCTTTTGTTCTTAGAATTTCAGCCCCAGACAACCTAGCTTTCATGTGCATTGGAACAGGCAGTCAAAAATGCTATAATCTTCTCTGTCATTTCCCAATGTAAAGGCTCTTGGATGAGAACAAGGGGATCAAAGCAGCCATACAAACCTGGATGAAGAGGTAAAAATGAAGATTTATGAGCACAATATTTTCCTGATGAAAACAAACTTTTCCATGCCATTAGGCTAATTAAAATAATCCATCATACAATGTGTATCTGACGCCAGGTCAGAAAAGCTGGGTATGAATCTGATGTCAAGAGGTGCTGAAGATGTCGATGAAATATTTGTGTGTGTATTGCATGCGTGAATGTGTGCGTGTGTCTGTATCTCAATGTGTATATCACTCAGGTCAGGAGAATGTTTCTATATTACAGTGACTTTTCAGTGAGTTCTATTCTTAAATAATTAATGTGTTTGTAAGAATATCACACCCACTGCTCTAGGATGTGATATTCAACATAAGTATACTTTTCAAATCACAAGAACCAACTATTCTATTTTGCTGTTTTTGCATTAGTTGACCCCTCCTAGGTCTAGTTCTGACCACCTCATTTTAAGGTGGATTTAGAAAAACTGAAGCAGGTTTAGACAACATCAATTAGGATGATTAAAGGACTAGAAACTATTCTGCAAAAAGAATTGAGTATGTTCAACCTTGAGGAGAGAAGATGAGGGGAGATATGAAGGAACACCTCAAATACCGGAGATGAGGTCACACTGGAGAAAGCCAGGACTTGTTCTCTATCACTGAAGAATGCAGAATAGAATAATGAATTTTAAGAAACAGGGTTGCAGATTTCAACTGAATCTCAGGAAAAGCATCCTAATAAGAGCAGCTTGGCAGTGAGGCCAATGACCTACAGAGATGGTAGCCTCCCTTCACTGAACGTATTCATCCAGAGTATAGTCATCACTCAGGGATAAGTCATAAGTCAGGGATACTTTAATTTGGATTCCTGCAATGATCAGGGATTGGACTATGGCCTCAAGCCCTCTTCCAACTTAATAAAATCTTAATTCTAGCTTTCTTGGGTTTAGAAGGACTTCTTTCTATGCAATGCCTTCATCTGGATCCAGAACAGACAATACTGGGAGTTCACAGTTTCTCCTTGTTGTGATAGATGCATGAATAAGGCACATTCAGCCAATTTCTTGATGAGAAAGTATAGAATTATATTATGGAGATTATGGCCATGATCCAAGATGATCACTCATGTCCAGGTGAAAAAAAATCACACCTGGAACAAGGGAAAGGTCCATTTCAGTTGATGGTTTCCCTGGTTGTGGAAGTCTCTTTCTAAAAAAGCTCTTCTGATACTGCTACATTAGTATCTCTCTGGTATCATATAACTGAAAACGTTGGATATCACAATATCTGAAGAACTGTGCTTAATACATTCCAACAAATCTACAGAAAAAGTAACTGAATGGTGGGAAATTACTTTTTTGTAAATTAGAAGTAATCATTATTCACGATTCTAATTGTTTGTGTGTGGGGGGTTAAACTCATGTTGTTAGTTGCTCTAGGGATGCAGATAAAGACTAAAATGGGAAAATGTAATCCCCCCCCATCATTAAATATTTCTCAATTAGCCTCGGCTTTATCTTTTGTTAGCTCTGGGATTGAATCCAGGCTAACAGTGCTGGTGAAACAAGCAGTCGGTGTCTCACTTCAGCTATTAATAATGGAAAGAATGAGCGGATGTGTCTGTAGGTGCTCATTTCTGTATGTGCAAATATCCAAATATTTTCCCTTCTGAGAAAACAGAAAGTTCCTACATTGCTGCAAAGCATTATTTATTGATCAGCATTTTCCCTTGTCTCAAAGGTCATGCTCCCCCTTGAGAAGCAAAGAAGGTGCACGCTTGATCAGTTACAGCAGCAGCCTAATAGTTCCTGATTATAGTTGCAAATGGACCAGAAAGAAAACTCATTTGTTTATGGTGCCCAACAACAAAACCCGCTTGGCAGCAATCAGTGGCCATTTGAATGTCACTCGTCACTGACATCCATCTGATTAATGTACAGGAATTTGACAAGATGGGAACAGTATGCCTTCACGGCTGGCAATGATGTTTGTTTGGAAGAGCCACAAGTAATCTTCCCCCAGCAGAAAGAAAGGACGCCAATTGCAGCAATGGCCTCATTATCTCCTATAAGTCATTATGATAGAAGCAGCTGCATGGACGGCCTTCAGCAGGTCCACTGTCTTGATTCCACCATCAAAACCACTTACATTCTATCACGAACGGCTATTTCAAAAGGAAAGCTGTTCCCAAGGAGGCCTGGAAGGAAATATATTTTTAACCATTCCTGGGATGGCCAAGAACTGCATCAAAACCCAGGCTGAGATGGGAGAAGAACTGCAGGGCACTTATACCTATTTCAAAAAATGGGAACATCCAAAGACACAGTAATGACAAGTGATATTAATTCATCCAGAGCATGCTATGCCTAGGCAACTTTCCCATTCCTGATGATCTGTGCATCTGATGAACCTTAATTCTGACATCTCCCAGCCAAACTTGGCCTTTGCAAAAGTCCAGAGTATCAGGAAAGTGCTACGTGGGGAAGGCTGCACAAAAGGCTATACTGGGTGGTTATCTGGATGATCCTGGTTTAACTACAGATTTCTTGAGATAGTTGTGTGCTAGATTGAATGCCAGCTCTCAATACTATGCAGCAGAACACAACATTGGGAGGTTCACATTTTCTTGAACCACTTATTGGTTACATTTACTCAACACTCTTGACCAGGCCAATAGAAAATCTAATGGCTTCATTCACACAACATATTAAGCTTGGTTAGTCTTTAAGTTGTTTTGTGTTTTGCTGATTCATGTGTCTTTGGTTAGAGTATGAGCCATGCATTCTCAAATCCAGGAAAAAGACTAATGAAGAAACCAGTGATGCCCAGCTATTTGCTATTTTAAATATGTTTTTTAGTTCACCTTTTAGAGGAATGACTTGCTCAAGATGGCTTTCACAGAACATTTTAGATAAGTAAATAAATAACAAAGTAATAATAAAACCAACATGAAAACCAACAGAATACAGCAGCTGAAACATTCTTCCCAAAAGGTCACCCACTAAATTCAACTGGATCATTGGGCAAAACAGCCACTCTGAGGTATGGATAAAAATGACTAGAAGTCATTATGGTGATTGAGCCTAGACATCACTAGCACATGAACAGCCTCCACATAGGTTGAGCCCTACCCTGAAGAAAAGCATTTCTAATCACTGTATTCATCTAAGCTTCTTCAGTTAGTGTAGAGTCCAGGAGCTCTAAACAGTGCAATTTTTATTTGCATTGGGGGCAGTCCTGCTTAATACCAATGGTAAATCTTGTTCTAGAATCCTGGATTTCTCTCCCCTATGCCACACCTGCCTTAAAAGGTGTGAATGTCTACTAAGAAATGAGTGTGAACATTCATTCACTGGCTCATGGTGGTCACAGGGCATAAGGAATGGAAAGTCCAATCCCTTCCTGTAGCTTGGTCTTGAGAAAGTTCAGAAGTGGAATGTGATGTCCAGATGGTTGAGATGAGAAAGTGATCCCATAAGGAGCGGGATGGGGAGAGACTAGGATGTCCTCATTGAAAAGAGAAAGGCATTAAAATGTAGACTGGGTTTTTTATCTATAAATATTTACTCCCCTCTTCCAGGGGTTCTGAGGACTGCAGTGAAGTGCTTGGGGTCTGGAAATGGTGGGATCTGCATGTGGTTATGGCCAATCCTGCTTTAAATGGACAAGCTTCTCCAAGTTGCATTGGACATTGGACAATATCAACAATCTCCTTTCAACTAAACTATCCACAGATCTAATCTGCAGATTTTATTAATTCTTTCAGTGACAAAGGATTATGACAATGACATGATGATATCACTGAAGACAGTGAAAGTGGACATTCACAATCCTGGGGGAGGAGTTGAAAGTACTCTTAATAGATGTATTAAGTCTACTGGATGCTTGGTACATCTACTTAACTTGGTAAAAAAATGTTAGCAGTATATAATGGCTTATTTTTGAATTTCATCAGTGAGATCTTGAGCTGGGGTCTTTACAGACTGCAGTTGAGGGGCTCAGGGAAGGAAGTGGTATCTCTACCACCACATGAACTGAAACATTGTCTGATCTGGCAATTGGGCCCAATGCCTATTGTGTCTTCAGATTTATACTGAGTAGATACAAAGGAGGATGCTTTGACTCTTTTCTCTGCAGTATTCTTACCTTGAAGACTAAAGATGGGAAGCTGTTTTCCAAAGTGTTCCCACCACCAATATTACCTGCAAGAGAGGCCTTTGCACTCCCAGCATCTTCATGGTATCTGCATTGGCAAGAACCTTCAGGGGGTCGGTAATCTTGGTGACTCCTTCAATCTCCTTATTAATTTCTCCCAGTACTTGGTTAAGAAAGATGTTCTTAATGTACATGGTGAGGAATTCCCGGAGTGGGCACTGCTTAGTGGGACTTAGTCCCAAAGCATGTTCAATTTCTTGAATAAACCTGAAATACATTAAAACAGGGGAAGACGCATCATTATGATAGTCAGGTTCAACTGGAACATGGTTTAAGCCAGTGAGTTGAGTTTCATCATTTTAATAAAGTATGGCAACAGAGGGAATGTAAAGTATTTGCACGATCTTGTCTTGTTTTTCAGAAATGAGTTTTCTCCAGCATTATTAGCAAATCTTCTAGATTGCAACAGTTCAATTCAAATAATAGACACCCATTATTTAAGGCACCTTGACCTCTTAGGAATCCCACACAAGCAGTTCAAAGTTTCAGAGCATCTCATATGTTTCAAAATGGGATTCTGCCAATCATGCTTTTACCAATTTGAACTGCACTGACTCCAGCATGCAATAATCTCAGAAACCTTAACCTTGACTCTAATTCAGACAAGGGAGTCATGAGTTCCATGTCTCCCTTGTCTGCATTAAAATAAAACAAAACACCCAAATCCAGGCAGGCAAACGGTCTAGACATATGAGGGGAGAGATACCTACTCCTTTCCCTTTCCCATCTGATAGCTTTTCACTTCACTGTCCTCCCCAATCTGTTCTTTCACCTGCAAAGGATAAAATATGCAGGAAAAAATTATCTCCTCAATGGTGAAAAACCGGAGGCATCCATTTTGAGCTGAGAAACTGAAAGAACCAAAATCCCTTCTTCTGTTTCACCAAAAGCAAATGCTAAAATAAAAGAAATGGACAACTCTGCCACCTGAACTTCAGCTCCTAGGTCTGGGCAAAATGTCTTTGCAATATTGAATGCCATTTAACCTAGCCTGGATCCTGGGATTACCTGTTTGCATATGTTGACTTTGGAGAAGGAGCACCCTAGAGTAGGGTTTCTCAGCCTTGGCAACTTTAAGATGGGTGGACTTCAACTGCCAGAATTCCCCAGCCAGCCTTG